GACTTGAAACTGGTGAGTTTTAGAGATGTCCTGTGTCTACCATGTCGTTCACTATAACTTCCGCAACATTGATCACTTGAAATAATTATGGAGTCTTTGACGTGCCAGTGATTTTCCAACCAAAATTTTCCAATGACATGAACTTGGCAAGAAATAACTGTTACGCGGAAGTTATTTTATAATGACTCAACAAAATTAGAGAGCAAAGCATTCTTTGATGAGCTGATCTGATTGGCCCGTCTGGTAGTTATATACTTTAAGCGTAGGGCGAGAGCATTTGCAGTCAATACGTGGCTTGAATCATACCAATTTGACGTCTGTTAAGATTTGCTGACTGATCTAGAAACATGAGGTACCTTACTGTCTGTACTCTGCTAACTCTAGCATTTTTCATGCTTATAGCTGAAGCTAGTGCAAGAGTTAGGGTCAGAGTTCGCACAACACGGTATAGAAGTTCTAGTGGCGGTTCGTTGAAGCCAAAAATCACCAAGACCACGCCGATCAAAGCGACCAAGTTCAGTTCTCCAGTTATCAAGTCACAAGCGAAGCTTGGTTCTCGTACTCAATTGTTCACTAAATTCGCGGCAGGTTATCTTTTTACCAGATACCTACTGAGTGGAGCTCCCGTTTACCGAGGTGGCTTTCCAGTCTATGGAAGTTACGTGTCTATCCCTGAGAAAAGAGCCGTGAGGTTGACGTCGGAAAGAGTGAGTTTACTGGACTCCAATGGAAGATTGTGCCTGGCTCAATCTTCACGAAGACGTTCTCTTAGAGAGGGAATCGAAAACAGTCTCATCGAAGTGAGAACAACTGTGAAGTACCAGGGCAGTCTGAAGGACGATAAGACATTTACCGGCATCAAGAACACAGCTCCCCTGAAAGACGTCAAAGACAAGACCTTCACAGTAACCTCTCGCGCTCGCTACAGGATCCCCGTCGTGGAAAACACCCAGTGCACACAAGTAGAAAAGCAAGTCAGTGGAACAATGATTCAGCTGTACGAGTATAATCCCAACGCTGCAGGTTTAATCAGCATAGATTTGAGGCTTATTTTTGCTTCTATCGTGGTAATTGGAGTTTTTAATGATTTTAAATAGTCAATCATGGTTTCGGGCTTTCGTAAAAGGCGCAACAGTACGCCGTTTGATAGGAAATTGTTGAGCGATTGATCTTGTTATTTTTAATTGACTTTGATTCACGTGCACTTGCAGTACATAGGTCACAGAATTTGCTTGGTATGTATCACATTAAACGTGATCAAAATTTCCACTAAGTAATATCGAGAACAGCTGCAAGAAGTTAAAGTTATGTAGTGATTCAATAACTTGTAAACTGACTTGTTTTAAGTACTTGTTGTAAAAGTTGTAACCAAGCTGTAGTGGTGTAGGCCTCTTTGTCTATGAAACACTTAGTTATTCAGTTTTAGAAAAAACTTCCACCGAATCTTTTCAGGCATTGTGGATAGAAATTTCTTTTGTTAAGATGAAAAACGTAATCTGTGGAGTCTTATATCGTCAACATAATTCTCCAGAGAGCTTTCTTAAATACTTGGAAGAGACTATCGACAAATTTACTTCGACAGGGAAGAACTTATGTCTCTTAGGTGATTTTAATTTATGTCTTCAAAAAATCGAAACCTGTAATTACAGTCGCGACTTCTTACTGGCTCTTCAAAGTTGTTAACTCCTTCCAACTATTGACAAACCAACACGTGTTCACAAAAATTCTGCAAGCTTAATCGATAACATTTTTGTGAACAATCCTGAGCAGGTGCTAATCAGCGGTAATCTCATTACTGATGTCAGCGATCATTTTTCGCAGTTTTGTATTTTGACATCAACAAGAGATAAAATTCAACGGAAGCAAATTAAAAAACGCGATCTTTCGCATTTCAATCCCGATAGTCTTAACAGCGACCTTGCTACGATCGACTGTAGCTGCATCATTAAAACGCACGCAAATAATGTAGACGAGCTATTTTCAACTTTCTATAGAAATTTTACTAAAATTATAAATAAACATGCCCCGATAAAAACCCCTTCTCGACGTAGGATTAAACAATTTTCCAAGCCTTGGATTACAAAAGGTATAAGAACGTCAATCAAAGAAAAAAACAGACTGTACCAAATTGGCGATCAGGAAAAGTATAAATATTATCGAAATAAAATTTGCAGTCTTATACGTTTGAGTAAGAAACACTATTACTGCGCCTTTTTTTTATAACAATTTAAGTAATATAAAAAAAAAACATGGCAAGGCATAAATGAATTATTAAATCGCTGTAAAAGAAAGTGTAAATCTGTTAGTAAATTAAAAGACCCAGATAACAACAATAACCTTACTAATGATTCCTCGCGTATACCTAATATCTTAAATAAACATTTTTCAAATGTTGGCAACATCTTAGCAAGCAAACTACCACCGGCAAAGCGTCCCTTCATAGACTACCTAAGAAAGTCCAGTTCGCCAGAACTTTCGTTTTTCTTCATACCTGTAACTCCATCCAAAATTCAATTTCAAATTTTATCTATACCAAACAGCAAATCGCATGGCTTATCCTCCTGTCCTACTCAACTTCTTAAATACTCAAGCGAAGTCATATCTCCAGTTCTTTCAGATATTCTCAATACATCTGTCTCTCTTGGGGCTTACCCCCAAAAACTTAAAATATCTAAAATTATACCTATCTTCAAAGCTGACGACGAGACCGACACTTCTAATTATAGGCCAATTTCATTATTATCAAATTTCAAAAGAATCTTCGAAAAAATTATGTACGACACAATGAGAGACTTTATTGAAAAGCACAGCCTATTATATTCGTCTCAATATGGTTTTCGTCAAGCTCACTCAACCCAACATGCTATTCTTGACATGGTAGAAACTATACAAACCAATATGGACAAAAAACTCTTTTCATGTGGTGTTTTTATTGACTTAAAAAAAGCCTTTGACACTGTGAATCATACTATTTTACTTGATAAACTAAATTATTATGGCTTCCGTGGAATTGTCAATCAATGGTTTTCCTCTTATTTATCAAATCGCACACAAAGCACTGAAATCGGCTCTCATATATCTAGTAAACTAAATATCAATTGCGGCGTACCCCAAGGTTCTGTCCTAGGTCCACTTCTCTTCTTGCTTTATATAAATGACATCCAATATTGTTCGAGCAAACTCCAATTTTTCCTTTTTGCTGATGACACTAATGCTCTTTATGCTCATAAAGATTTAAAGACACTGGAACTAACAGTAAATGCAGAATTACACAACTTGTATAACTGGCTGACTTCAAACAAACTTTCTCTGAATATCAAAAAGTCAAACTATGTAATTTTTCGTCCATACCAAAAAAAACTCAACTACGATCCCCAGGTTAATATTTTTGACAATGAAAGCAATAAAAAGGTTACCCTTGAACGCAAAAACTTTATTAAATATCTTGGACTGTTGATCGATGAAAATCTATCTTGGAAGACCCATATTCACTCTGTTGCTAATAAAATAGGTAAAACAATTGGGCTGATTGCGAGATTAAGACATTTTGTTCCCACTTGCACCCTCTTAAATATTTATCAGTCACTAATTACACCTTATCTAACTTACGGTCTTATCTCTTGGGGCAACGCGTGTAAAACTTTCCTTGACCAAATTCTTGTCCTTCAAAAACGCGCACTGCGTTTAATAGATTTTGCTGAAACAAACGACCACGCAATACCTTTTTTTGTCAATGCAAAAATTCTACCTTTACAGTCTCTATAGATCTCTATATTATGAGTCCGTTTGTAGTCTTATGTATGATGTAAATAAAAACACTGCTCCGGATAATATTTCGAAACTCTTCTCTCGAATTTCTAGTGTTCATACTTACAACACACGTGCCTCAACCTCTGAACATTTTTATGCTAAAGAATTTCGACTCAATGTCAAACGAAATGCTTTTTCGCGTGTTGGGGTCAAAATTTGGAATGAGATACCTCAAATTCTTAAAGAAAGACCGAAAAAAGCTTTTAAAAGATCACTTAAAGAAATGCTACTCGATTTCCTTGAAACTGAAGACTCCTATATTGATGTGGATACGATCATCGTGAAAATAAAAAGTAATTCTCTTGTCCTTTATTTTCATTTTATGTTATTTTTAAAATTTCACTTTAATATTGTCCTTGCATTTAAGTAGAATAGTATTTATGTAATGTAAAATATATACACCTTGTCCGATGGTTTAGCATATAATACGTGCAGATATTTTGCGAGTTGCGTAGAATTATTCCGAGCCCCGCAGGGGCGAGGAAAAATACGAGCAATGAGCAAAATGTCCGCTCGTATCATATGCTAAACCATCGAATAAGAGGTTTATTATTCCACTACAAAAAAAAAATTATCTGGCAATTGGCTTCTATTTTCTGGTAAGAGAATTCAGAGAAACACTGATTCTGTCAGCCACAGTTGCTCCTTTTGCATCCGCCGGTATTCGCCCTGTTGTAAACCGGTTAAACCAGGACACTACAGTGTATTACGGCCTCGTATTTTGCTTGTCCTCTTGACCTTATATGGTAAAATGACGTAATAGTGGAATAATAGATATACTTATATAACGCCTAATTTCTTTGTATTTGTCTAGTTTGTTGTAAATTATGTAGCTTGGCCTGCCTCGAATAGCCTCGCTAACTGCAGGCCAGTCCCAATGTAACTTTTGCTATATTTCCAAATTTAAATAAAGTTGAAAGTTGAAGCTAAAGGCTAAGTCGGAAAATTGAATAAATGAGTTGAAACTTTTGGGTTGTCTTAAATCATTTTTTCTTGATTCATTATCAGAGACTTAGGGCTCGTAACAGTAAATAGGAACGTACTGATTTGGTATACGGCGTGGTTGGCAAAGCTTGGAAAAAGCCAAATCTTCAGAAAAATCGATCACGCAAATCAAGACTTTCAGGTCATGTATCAATTTATGCCAACACGCTTGACCCCTTTAAGAAGAAATGCAAAGCGATCAGCTA